GTGGAGCTCTGGCAGGGAGGGAACTGTCACCTGTCAGTCTCCTTTCAGCAGGTGATACTTCCTGGCTTTCTGAGCTCTGATCAGGCAAAGCATTGCATAAGCAGCTGTCGGGGCTGGCCTCGGCCACGTCACCTTCCTCCCCCGTGTCCGAGTTGATGGAGCGGGAGCGCAAAATATGGAGAGCCAGGCTCTTTGACCTAGGACATACCATAAAACAAACAGCTGCAAAATCAGGAATCCAATGTTAATGTTTTCTTCCTCCTTGATATTTTCAGAGAGGGTGTCAAAAGGTCTGATTATATCTTAAAGGCTGTGCTAACACAGTTTATGGTAATAAATGATTCATTTTGCAGCTACTGACACAATTGGTAATTCTTGGGTGGCAGAGAAACTGTGGGAGTTTTTGTGCAAGACATTTTGGGAGGGTAGGTTGTTTCATTTCAAAACCAGCTATCATCCATATTTGGCTCAAATGCCCAAATACTTTGTTGTGTTTAAGCTTTACAATCCAGCTGATGTTTAGTCTTATTTCATGAGTCTATTACTTACAGAAATCTACAACTTCCACAGCTGTCTACCACAGTCATGAAAAAACTGGTCCACTGTCTCAAGGCCACTTCTACAACCTTAGGGCCAATGTTGCTCATATTTGTCCAGTCTGGAAATAAATCAGTCCTGTAGAGTGAACCTTAGTGAACCTGTTGCTGCATGTAATTAGCTTCCACTTCTGACTCAATTGTCAGGACAACCTGAAACAGTTGTTTTTCATTTTCTTTATGAGGATGCTAAAAGTATGTATGTATTTATCGTTAGATGCTTTTGATCTTATTGAACAGTTGGGCCAAAAAAAAAGAAAAAGAAAATCCTGCTATTTTTACATCTGAACAGACCTGTTGAACCTCATCTCGCGCCTCTCCTCTCTGACCGCTTGGCTGAGGCTGTAGCGTCGCTGGGGAGGAGGTGAGCCCTCCAGCACCACCTGCTCCTCCCCCATTTTCTCCTCAAAACTCTGGATCTTCACCTGTAGGTGGGTCTCTGAAACCCCTCCTCCCCTACCAGTAGGAAGAGATGCGCTGGGAGAAGGGCATGCTTCATCAACCCTGCAACAAGGACACAAACAACAGATTGCAGGTGATTTCCCTCTCTCCCCATCTGGAAATCTTTTTGCATGATTTCTAGCCCTAAGTCTCGAAATTCCATCTAAATCATCAATCTTTCTGTCCCTGAGTCTTTATACACATATTACATTTCGCAAGTTTGCTGACTTCCAAAAGCCTCATTGTTTTGTTTTTTTTCCCTTCACCCCCTGCTCTTTTACTAATAAGCCACCTTGGCCCTCTTAGTCTTTCTTTCCAAAAGACCCCAAGCAAGTCTTTGGAAGACTTGAGTCAAGCACACACTGTTTTTATTTGAAGGAGAACTGTGTGTGTCATTGCCAGACTGCAACCAGATGAATCTCAGTCAATAAACATGCATCGACTTGCCAGCATATGAGGATTGTGTATCTAATGTTTCCAAGCACTTCTTATGGCCTTTCCACTAGTTGTAAACACAGGATTTACATAAAAGAGGCCTCTGGAGGACAAAATCAGAAAGAATGCAAAAAAGAAAATCCCTTTTTTTGGTCTACAAATTATAGTCAGGAGCAAAGCTGAGATTTTGAGATTTCAGTGTCAGACACAATTTCATGGCTAAATCTTTGAGCTTTGTGTATGTTTCCAATCATATTGGATCAAATCATAAAATATCATACAGGAATATGATTCATTGCGCTTGTAGATGTCAGGTCTCTTTTTAAATCTGGTTTTGGTAATCAAGTTGTGATGGTCTGAGTTAACATTTGATTGTTGAGTTTACACAAGGAAAAAACAAAGTTTCCTCCCTAAAGAAACATCCAACAAAAAAACCCATTAAGAAAAAACAACATTTGTCAAATACGGCAGCAAACTGATATAAAGTGGAACATTTTCCCTCTCAGCCCAAATTATCTTGTGCGTCCAAACCTGCATTGAGTGGCCATTTTGTCCTCTAGTCGCCTTCCCAGGAGTCGGGCTATAACAGTAAATGAGTTGCTCATCCTGTAGATATCTTTCCCACAGCCGCCCAATAAAGATGGATAGCGGTCCGTTAGAGCTCCGATCTCCAGCAGCAGGGTGTGGTGAAAGCTGTGCTCCATGCTGTCCAGAAGGGACACCAGGTAGACCAAAGCACTGTGAGCGTGAGTCTGAAAAACACACAAAAAAATGCTTTTCAAAGAGAGTGCATTAAAGGAAGTCAGATTATCTTTAAAATCTAGAAATCTAAACACATCAGCACTCAATGAAAACACCAAAAACCTGTGAAAAATTCATAATAGTGGCAGCCAGACTCCTCAGAGGAGAAACAGTTCTGTTTGTTCCCAAAGGGCACCACGACCTCTTGGTGCCTTGAGTATTAGCACTTTAAGGCAGTATTGGATGGGTGTGGGTCTATGTGTGAAGGGGGCTCAAACTCTTTCCTTTTTTTCAAACTGAATGATAAACACAAACACATACATCTCAGCAAACTTATGAAATATGAACTTCTCCTTTGCCCAAATGCAGTGTAAAGTATCTATTGGCCTTTAGAACACCAACCTTGTTTTAACATTTCCAGTTTGAGTTTGTATAAACTGATCCAGCACGTATGCATCCTGCTTATCGCAGACACAAAATCTGAGCCAAAGCCGAGCCAAAGCCAAATATCTCCATCTGTAGAAAAAACTGAATCTGGATTTTTGTTTTTTTTCTTTTATCTTCAAACTTTCAGTCTCTTAGCTTATAAAGAATCATGCTGTTTAAGTATGAGGGCTCCCTTTGAGAGACAAACAGACTGAGTAAAGAATGGATGGACAGTGGGCAGAGCCAAACTCAGCTTAAGACTGTCAAACACACCTTGTAATGAAGAGAGAAGAATGCAGTTTCTGCACAGCTCATTTGGCATGTTTTGCATGTGCGCTCTGTAGGATACTGAATTTATATGTTGATCCTAATACTACCAAAAAGCCTAGAGCTTGACCTTACACTTTGATAACAAGCCAAGATGACTTTGGAAGCTCAGCACAAATATGAGTCAGACTCAGGAGCTCCCCTGATGCTCACAACAGTTAAAAAGAGTTTACAGGGATGTGAATTACGTCTGCAGAGCAGGCTTTGTTATTTTTTTTATTATGATGACTTTGATTTTCAAGGAAATTAAAAAATACCTCTTAGTGGTACTCACATTTATCTAACATTTTTTAAATAACATGATTAAAAATTTCATGAAGTCATCAGATGATTTGTCACTGGTTTAGTCATTATTCAGTAAAGGTGTATGCCTAGGACTCCTATGACTCCCAAACACATCAACACTGGTCTAAATGTTTGTGTGTTAAAACCTTCGAAGATCTCTCTAACCGGTAGTAGTGATCTTAAGATTTCTTATGCTCTTTTACAACTTTAGCTTGAGGTTAACAATAAATGTAACTGTAAGCAAAGGTTTTCAAATATTTTATAAACCATTGTTAATATATGCTACACAAACTGAAAGGTGAATCACTTGAAACTGTTTTTATGCTATTAACTACATCATGACTTAGCTCTCTTTGTAAGCCTATTGATTATCCATTTGAGCCCTCTGTCATTTTTGTTCAGTGTCAATGTTTTTTTTCCTTCTTTCTCACCATAAGCAGAGATGTAATGGATTCAAGTTTTTTTAAATGTACTATCTAATGCTGCTAATACAGACTTTCATGTGCATTACTGGGCAAGTTTCTAGGTTTAAAAAGGTTACTCAGTCTCAACTAATCAGAGTTAGTGCTAATTGCTCTTGTCAGATTTAATAGGGTTTTTGTTCAATATTGTCCAATCAACCAACAATGGATTCAATCACTGTCCAACCTTCACTGTGAAGGTTGGGAGTTTTGCCCAGCTTGAGCTGATAATTGCTGTCTTACTCAGTTCAATTGAAAGGCAAATTTGGTTGTTAATGTAACTTTTTATTGGCAGGATCCCATTCAAAGCATTAAATACAAGCCACTAGAGAATCACAGAGAATCAAAAACACCTTTGAAACGATCTTCACAGCACAGAGGAATAGGTTTTAGAATGAAAAGGGGCTGCCAGATTATTGGGTTGAGCCTCATTTACAGAGAATCATGTTTCTTTCACTGGTGATATATTCTGATCTAACGAGCAATAAGTCCACATGCACAATATAGGCTAACCTCCTTGGGGGGGGGAGTGAAGCCAGGGAAAGAATTGTGAAATCTAGTACAAATACAGCCCAGTGTGAAGATCTCAATTTTGAATCTGTGTGGTTGTGTGAGTTTGTGTAAAAAACAAACCCAGAGGAGGCATATCCACTGCCATCACCAGGAGGCCTTTGCAGGGGCATTTTCCCGAAAACAAGGCTTATTTTCGCAATGGTTCCAATGTGAAGACAGACAGGACGCTGAGGACCGACAAAGCCTGTATGTGAGTTTATGTGTGAGCGCTGGAGGTGGAATGGCAGGTTTTTTGACAAGATGATTGAAGAGGAAGTAGCCATCAGAGGAAAACCTACCCAGCTCAGGAGTTCTCAGACTTTCTAATACTTTCAACGTCAAAAGTGTGTGTGTGTGTGTATGCCTGGTGTTCATGTGTGGAAGGAAAACACTTATTCTAAAGGCAGATATTTTCCCTTGTTGCTATGTAAGTGTTGTCGATTTACCTTAAACAAGACCCCAACGAGAAAGAAAGTGCTACCCCACACTTGTTGCTGTCACTTTTATCCCTGAGCATATACACAATGAGTTTTATTTTAAAACTCTTACATCAGTGTGAGTACTTTCCCAGAATCTGTAGAAACAGCGATGACGTGAGCGAACAGCGGTTGTCTGAACACACTGAACCTGCCATTTTTCCAAAGCACATAAATAATGGCAAGAGCACATCGTTTTTGAGAGACGGAGGATGAAAGGATGAGTACAGAAGTCCAGGTGCCTTCTGTTTAAACATTTAAGATTAACATGCCCAACATTGGCTGTCATTCTACATGAACATAAACTGGCTGCACATTTGGGTGTCTGAAATCACTATCTACGAACAAATATTCAGCAAACTGTCAAGATTTGCACAGGATAAAAGTATTATTGTCCAGCTTCCCTGTCTTTGCCTCCAAACACCAATGTCAATTAATTTATTCAAATCTTTTGACCTCTTGGTCTCTTAAATTCTTGCTTTTGTTTAGAGGATGTTGGATCTGCATTTAGACACTCAGTGTGACAAAGTGACAATAAGAAAAACAGTTTAAAGGTAGCTCATATAAGCAGCAACTCCTTATATTAGCCACTTAAAACCTGAGTAAAAACACGGAGCGATGAGCCAACAGGCAAGCTTAGCGGTTGCGAAGCTGATTTGTGATGAAGGAATTATGGCCTGGGTTAAGAAATGTACCGGACCCGACATTACTTCAGCTTTCCCATCTGACATGGTGTTTTAACAACCTGGGTCGAAATAAAGTGATTGTTGTGACTCAACGTTAACGTCTGTTCTTTGAAGTCATGCGATAAAAGGAATGTTAGACATGAGTAGAATACACGTCCATACAAAAAGAAGTCTATAACACGCATGCAGCTGATCCTGCAATGTTCCCATTTCATTCTCCTTAATTCTGCACACCCAGTGCATTGTGCCTCTCCTATGCTTTACGGCCCATTAAATAGTGCTTTGTTGACATCATTAGGCCACAGCTTCAAATACTGCTCATTCATTCTCCCTTCTGTTTTCCCTCCTACTCCATCAGGGCCCTCAGAATTCACAGGTTTTTATTTAATACGGACACTTCCACTGAACACTGATGAAGGTGTTGGAGTCGGTCAAAACTTCCGGATCTGCTCGGCCTATCTGGTGTGAGAATGTGTGCTTCACACTTGGCAGAACAACAGAGAGTAAGTCATATGAGTGTGCAGCCTATTCATCTCAGCCAATTAAGATAATCGCTGCTGCCTGTTTTGTGTGTGCGTGCATGTGTGGAGTGGATGTTGTAGTATAAACAACACCCTGCCCAAAAAACCTGGGGCCGACTATCCTTATAGGGTCTGATTAAATGGATCTTGGAAGCTTGAGTGCATTTGTTTGGATATGGGTTTAGAAACTCGGTTTTGACACTTAAGGTTGGGGATGAGGGAATGTGGTGAGTAAATAGAATTTTCTGACAGGACGTGAAATGAAGATATGTAAAAGTGTGCATGCTCACTAAGTTGTGTTTGGTCGGTTAACTAACTTTGTTTAAGCATTGTGACCCAAGACAGGTCTTAATGTCTGAGCAAAAGTTTGGAGACATTCATTTTAGTTCAGCATCGGCAAAATTGTTTTTTGCACTTCAGTCTGCTTTCAAAGAACTAAAAACATCTTGTGGTCAGCTTTTGTTTGAAGAGTTCAAACCTTCCATTTCTATTCCGCCTACCACTGCACATTTTAAAATTATGTTTATCGCATTTTTGGCCTGTTTGTCTGGAAATCAGCACACGTGTAGTGCTCTTATTTCAAGAGCCTTACCATTTTCTCTCCCAAGAATCCCGCCTTTGGACAGCCTTTGTTAAAACCAAATAACTGTCCCAAAGAAATAAACAGGACATCTATAATTTTTGTGTGCTTGTTTCACCTCACTGATGATGCCCACAGCACCATGGATTTTGGCCACATGGCCCAGAAAAGCTGTAGATTGCTGTCCCACTGTCCTCAGCGTGGGAAGAAAGCTGACCAGCGACGAAGGGCTGGCCTGTGATACGTCGACGAGAGCACCCAACAGAGGCTCGGTCAGAGAGTGTTCGCTCAGGTAGGTGACGAGCGTGGGCACGTTAGGACTCAACATCTGCACAAATGACAACAAATTATCGGAATCAACCAAAAAAAGCACTGCTCACTAACAAATGCTACCAAATATAGTCTTTGTCTCTTTAATGAGGGCTGGAGCCTGAATGACCCTGGATTCTGATGACTAATAATAAATAAAGGCTGGACTGTATGACTTTCCGGAAAAAATGAGTGGATGAACAAATGTCTCCTCATTATCTGGACTGGTGATGCTGAAGTGAAATCAGTTGGATGAACAATAGTCACAACCTCCTGCTCTCTTGCTTCTGCTTTCTGAGTCACTTGTTCTGAAAAATCCCAATAATACCAACGGATCTTGAGAAAGAGGGTAAATTTGTTTCAACAGCCCATCACTTCTTGTAAGCACCAATAAAATGCAGAACATATGCGAATGGCTGTGATGAATGTAGAGTAGAAATATTTTGTGAGTGAGTGTTTGTGTGTTGGGGGCGTGCATAATAGAATAACTCCAGATGGTACACTCCACTGATAGACTATGTGTGTTTTACCACTGTGTTTCTCTATTTGCTGGTATGTGGAACTTCCCCCTCATGCTGACCAACAGCAGCCATACTCAAAAATATGTAAGTTTACGGGAATTCCTGCAATGAAATGTTGCCCAAGCCCTAGGAATATTACTGGATACAGAAATGATGATTCTTAGAATGTTATAGAATGTTTAGAATTAGGTAAAATAGAATAGCATTATCAACCTCATTCCAGAGAAAACAGATGGTTTAGATTTCCTAGAATAAGAAAGTTGTTCTGTATTTAAAAAAAACATACAAAAAGTAAATTAATAAAAAAAAAAACAAAGCTACTCACAAGTGGATGTTGCTCTGCAACCACCTGAATGAGTCTGATCAGGTGCTGCTGCTCTGGGGATTCCAGGCGGGACATCATTGCAGTGAGGCTGCCCATGTGACGGTGGATGATATCCGGCTTTTTGGGATAGACTGAAGGCAGCACTCGTAACAGCATGTGGTTACCTGCCAGGAGACAAAGCCACATACATATAATGTTCTGTAGATACAGACAGCAGATGAGCCCATGTTGTGCCGCCAGAGACCCACATTTCTGATGACATTTGAGTTGTGGAGTTAGCAGGTGATGTAGGTTTAAAGGAACAGTTACTTTGTCCTTCAGATATGTAAGAGCACATTTTTACAGAAAGAAAAACTGTGAGAAAAAAGGAACCCCTGTATTCATGGCCCAACAATTTATAGGAAAAACCATTGCAATTACTGAACATTGAATCTGCCTTTAATAATGACTCAAAAATACTTCGGCAATTACCAGATGTTTTGTCAAATACACATTGCACACTGCTCACTTATCTTAAGAGATTCATATTCGGATTTTCTATTTTTTTGCTTCATTGTTTTACTCAGATCAGTTAACTGACCTATTTATCTATTATATTTATATAATAACGTATCTTTCCACATAAACTACTACAGTATTTTTATCTAAGAAAAGAGACATTTAGGCTCTGCAGATTGCCTGTTTGTGACCAAATCTTTTACTAATCAGTAATGCAGTCAGAAAAGAGAGTGTTGCATTAAAACCAATTAAAGCAGAAGCCATAAATTTGCGCACATGTTCCTATTTTTGGTTTGGGGCACCAATGCTGCAGCTGGACAAAACTTCTGGCAGTCTGAAGCCTTCCTATTAAAACGTTTGATTCCTTTGATGACGTTGCACTTTTTTCAAAACCCCAGATATTGAAAACAGTACCAGACTTTGAGGATTTTTGGTATAAAGTTTGAGGTCCTGATGTTGTGGCATCCTATGCTGTCCCTTTGAGTGCACAGAAAACCTACATATGTTATTGCCTTAACTGTTCATCAAGCACACAGCTATTGCATCTTTTTTTTTTTGGGCAGGGTTTAATTGCAAACTTGAGAAGATTTCTAAGTATGGCAAAATGAGAGCTATATTGAAGCAGTATCATAAGTGAGAGCTCCTGGAACATCTTGCCTTTCTTTTTGCATTCATGCATTTAGGATACTCATGTTCTTTGCAGATCTTTTACTGTCAAGTGGTCCATAATCTTTGCTACTAATGCCACGGTATTCAGATTTTTATACTCGGTATCTATGGCTTTACCACTTCCAAACGCATTGAAATAAGAAGCCCATTGTGGAACTTCTGCACTTTTACACTCATCTGTAGTTGCTTTGAGATATAATCCTCCCAAAGTACACACAAGATGTTCAGCTAACATCTCCCATACGTTCAGGTATTGTTGTCAATACTCCTGCAGCATTTAATCTATATCTATTTATTCTTTATTCAAAGAAGCAAAGCAGATATATATGACTGGATTGTTCAGTATTTGCAAATCATTTTCTCACAGACTGTGACGAATGTTTGAAGAATCCTGAAAAGACTCACTTTAAATCACACTGAAAAAAGACCTGTAGATTCAAGGGAAAGGTTGACAGTTGTTGGCATTTCAGAATACCATGCAGTGCAAAGAAACCAAACAAAAACGTTTTAAATGAAAATTAACCTACGTGGGTTTAAAGATACATGCTGCGGTAACATTTAGTCCAACAAAGCTTTCTTAAATTTGTAAAAAGATTTGAAATGTAATAATAAAAACACAGCCTGTCTTGTTTTGTCCTGAATGAAAACATTTAACACACAAACATTAGAACTTAACCATTATGTTGATGTTCTCATTTTGTTCATAGAGTAGAAAAGTAAGAGAGAATTTTCCCAAATGCAACATAGCAGAACATTTGAGATTCAGTGCCAACATTAGAAGACTCAATTCCTCCTAACAATAAAACACTAAAACAAGAATGGATGAAGTTGTTACACATGAAAGAAAACACAACAATGTTTTACCATTTGTTTCATTAATTCAGCAGATGAAATTGATCTAACCGGTGAGGAAGGGAGCTCTGAGGAGATTTATGTACACTCTGGACTGGGAGCCTCGATCATTTGAGAAGTGGGTTGAAAGATCCCATTAATGATTAATGAGAGTTATATCATGCATCAAAATCAAATGTAAAAACGGTCACTCCTTGAGTTATATGGTTGGTGATAAACTACAGGCTTTATATCATCAGATAGAATGCTTCTGACCGCCGCCGATTATAAGAGCAGAGTGAGAAAGATAACATCCAACTGGTCCTTACACCCTGATATCAAGTTAAACACAGCTTACACTGTACAACATCACACACACCTCTTACTCTTTGAACACAAATCAACATAAAAAGCGACAGTTAAAGTCTATGTACAGAAAGAGGGGGATGTTAAAGGCCATAAAGCTACAACACGGAAAGGCCTGTTCAAGGTATCTTAAAAGGTGGGAGGGAGACACCACTCAGGAGGGAAGTCAGCCCAGCAGGATTTAGAGCCCTTATGTTGTCCACTGATCCTCACAAACATATAGCAGCAACACGTGACACACAACCTGGCTGGACTGAATAACTCAATGGTAAGCCATAAGACACAGCTCTTATTGAGCTTAATGTCAAAGAGGCCATTTGGATTCCCTCCGATTCTTTCCAACCCACCTTATTTATGCAAGTCTGACCTTCATACCTTCATTCCTACACACACTCTAGTCCTCATGATGACTTCCAAATCTCAGGCAAACATCTTGTTACGACCTTTGGTATTATCTCAAACAAAGGTCTCTCAGATATCAAATAAAAAAGGAGCATTAAACTAAATTTTAGAAAAGGATTTTTTGTACAAAGACGGGAAAATGAAAACTGATATCAACTCTCAGAGGCAGAAGAAAACGTTTTTTTCCCCTCAAACATACATTCAATTGAAAGCTGAGTGAGTTTCCCCTGTTTTGGAATTTGTATCTGAAACTAATTCTTTTTATGCATCTTCAGATTATATTTTGGACAAAGATGCAAATACTTCTGTCATATCTAACAAAGTCTATAACTTGCCCAGAGGAACTCCACATGAACCGTTCTGCAAGTGAGCTCCCTGTACGTGACCAAAAACAATGCAAAGATCAGCACAACTGCGTCCACAGGGGGGCGGGTCTTTTTATGGCTCCAGCATGGTCTGTGAAGCCTCTGACGCTCACGGTCAACGCAAACATGTCCTGAGAGTCGTATATCACACGGCTCAAATGACCTCAGGCCGGCGAAGGAGGGAAAGAAAGTGTCAAATCCAAATAGAAAAGCCAAATGACAAATCTCTCCCAGAAAGCCCATATCGTTGAGATTCTGTACGTTTCTGTTCCATGAGAGAATCCCCCCCTGCAATGTAATAACACTTTAAAATATTCAGAGCCATTTGAAACATGACTGCTGTGTGCTGTGGAAGGCATCCAACCACTGGAGCGCAAAGACAGACCTATAAGGACTTTCATAATGCGCGAGCATGACATGTACACACAAATATTTTATATCTGGATCATAAAATGTGCACTAGTGAAGCAGGACAGATTTACAGTGTCGGTACTGTTGCTAAATCTGCTGTCAGTGTCTCCTTTCACCTAGATTTCTCCATCCTGGCCTGTCTGTTCTGACTTGTCATAGGCGATCAACACCAAAGAGAAGGCCCGAGTGAAGCCTTCAGACAATGACAAGTCCTGCACAGACACATGAGTAAGATCCTCACTGCTGAATCAGCGCTTAAGTACGTGCAGCTGGACAGATATTCTAAATAACTGCATGCTCGATACCTTATAGTCCCTTAGAGTGAAGCTATGCCGAAGAGCCATACATTCACTGCTAAGGCAATCGGTCAACACCCCGACGCAGACATTTTCTGTTTTGTAATTACATCGACAGTTGTTTTTGTTTTGTTTTTTAGATGAAAAAGTAATGACGAATCACACGTAACCCAAAAAAATAATGCAATCATAAAGTATAAATGTGCATATCGCACATGTACAAAAGAACACACTGAAGTGATTTCTCCTCAATTCTTATGATGCTTTTCCAGCTGGCTAAATTCCCTCTGCAAGTGGAAGCCATGAGGCCAAAATAGTAAATATTTAGACCAAACACATATTCACACAAGTAATGCATGTGGCGCATTTCTTTCCTGTCTTTGAACATACAGTATAACATCTGCCAACCTCCTGTTTTTCCTCTCTGATGTGATGTTACACCCTCCAGCTCATTTCAGGTAACCGTCTGCATCGTGTTACTGAATAATATTGTTCAAAATCAGTTCTTCTTTGGAATCAGACAACCTCTCCCTTTTATATCGGACACAATGCTCACATGTTAGCTATCTTGTAGAGGACCTTTTCTCTTTAGCAGAGATCATAGAGAATCTTTTTTTTTTAAATCACTTAAGAAGAGTTTTGTCAAAGTTTGTCTAAGAGGCTCCTTCTGTTCCAGCTGTGTTTTGAAAGATTTTAGCTGGATGTATAATTTTCTACTTCTTTGTGAAGTCATTGTTTTATATAAGCCTTTGGATTGAATGTAATAAGAGTTCTCTATGAAACAAAAAGGAAACACTGAGCTCTAAACAAACAAACAGGGCTAAACCCCATCACATAATTTTTTTTAGTAGGAGAGAACCAACAGACAGCGGAAGCAGAGCTTTGAAAACTGCACGGCTGACAGATAAGTGTGTAGGAATTCAACTGCTCCAATGTCAAATTCCTCACTTTTCTTTGAAAATGCTGCTAAATAAAACTCTAATGAACTTGGAACAGGGCTGCTATTTTGCTAAGTCTGTTTCAGAAGGTATGTGTGAGAGAAAAAGCAGATACAATAATGGCAAGATACTGAAAGGGAAGAAGATGAGAGTGGGCATATTATAAAATCCCTTGAGAAAGTCATTATTTCCAATCTACTAAAAATGCAAACTACAGACAGTTCCCACTCACATCATACAGATGTACACACACACATACTGACAACAGAAACCCTGAAGGAGACAAACAAATAAATAAACAGTGAAGCAGGAAAACAATAAACCCATTTAGAAACCTTCTGGGTTCCATTCAAGCTTCCTTCACAAACACCCACATATGAAGGGCATCTCTGCATGGGGCAGAAAAACTGAAATGTGTGTGTGTTTTCAGTTTCCTTCCTCCCTTTATTACCCCTCTTCCTCTCCTCTTTCTCTCTGTGAGTCATGGGAGCAGCAGCTATATCTGATTACGACACGCAGGCTACCTCCAACGACGCATGACTCACCGCCGCGCTCGCAGGCCGAGGCGCTGATTTTACATTTCTGAGCTGAGGAGAGCCAAATGTTTGCACAAGGATGGAGATTCAGAGAAATTTTTAGAGAAGCATTTTTTTTTCTTTCTCTCAGTGGACTTCCCATTGTTTGCTTGATGTATAACTCAGTGTAATTACTGGGGTTTATAGGTTAAAGACTTTTTCGGCCAAACTCATGATAGCATTTAGATTCTGATGTAAGTGTAGATCCAAGATTATTTGCAGCGATAACTCAATACTACAGCTGTGGCTGTACTTTTTTAAAAACGTTTTAAAGGGTGGAAGTTTTACTGTAATCCATTTCTTAATTCTTTATGCAATGATAATATTGCTACTGTCAAAATGAATGCTGATATAATAAAAATGTCACCAGAAGGTCACCAGACACAGCTGAAAACACAAACAAAATGTTCTTCAGATATCCACGCTTTATATTGAGGGATTTATGTTCAGCCAACTCACAGTTGAGTGAAAAGCTCCTGTTCTAATTTGACAAACTCTTACATCAAACTCTTTATCCTATTTGAAGAAGCGAGGTCATGATAAACAAAGATGAATGATGGTCACTCCTCCCACCTGCTGAACTTATGCCATCTGCCTTTTCCCAGCAACTTTTGATTTCCAAGTTAGTTGAGTGTAACAGACCATCTGGTGTGTTGGGGTAGTTCCCTTTGGTGTTTATATCACACAGAGAAAAATACTGTGTATTCAGGATTTAAGATGCCTTACAGTGGTTAAAGTGGGTGGAAAACAAAACCTCCAAAGCACTGCTGAAAAATACTGATGAGTATGTGTGAGCCCAGGCAACTCATCCCTCTGGCAGAGGGAACTCTACACTGCTGGGCTTCCTGCCTAAAAATTGCTCAGCATTTAGGAAAAGAGAATTAGAGAGAAGAAGAGAGAGGTGGAGAGTGATTGCAGAGGAGGAGGGACAACTACAGTATGAGAGAGTGAGGGGTTGAAAAACAGAGTAGTGGTCAGAGAGCAGCAGCAGAGGCTAAGAAAGCACGCACAGGGAGGGACGGCCTCACTCGGACTTTCACCTGACACCCAGCAGACAAAACCAGCAGAAGCCTTCACCTTTACAAACCTATCGCTCAGGCCCTTTCAGGTGGCAGCACCATGCTTCGGCAGAGACTAACCCAGGCGGTGTGTGTGCTCTTGGCGTGTGTGTGTCTAGCGCTCACCTATGAGGACGATATCGAGGTCAACTTCGCTGACCCCTTCTACAATGAAATCACAGAGGAAGAGACGCCAGAACGTAAGTGTGCAGCCCCGTATGTGCTGGAATGTAAGCATCCTTAATGATTAAGAGTATTAGACAGGCACACCTGCCACTCTCTGTGATCACAAAGCATCAAATGGAGTCTATTTTTTTGTAATGCATGAATGGTCAGATTGGGATTAAATCATTATAAAATATCTGAGTGGTTAACAGCAACACAGCGTCAATTACTAGCAATAGGCGGAGATTGAAAATCCTTTTTTATGGTTTGAAAGGGCTTTAAAAGTCTATATAGACAAAAAAAGTGAATGAAGTAACTCAGCAAGTACAGTATATATTGTGAAGACCTGCTTTCAATAATGCGCTGAGCCACAAAACGGAGTTGACATTATTTTTTTGTCCAAGTTACCTGATAGAACAAACACTAATTACTGCTGGAGTGTACAATTAGGAAAATCCTTCGCTCAGCTGTTTGGGAGAGAATTCTTCTTTCCTGGAGTGCTTAAGTGTGCAATTTGAATGCATGTGGCAAAACAGCATGAGTAGTGTGTGTGTGTTTGTGAGTCCACAAGTCCGTTCACAGCTCACATTTTGCAAATGTTTGTTGTTTCAAACATAGCAGGAGGTATAATTGCACCACCAGCGGTTAACGGGCAGGAAACTGGGCACGTCGCCTGTAATGTGATTAAAAGTGATGCAGCTCCTCAAACACATGGCTGAGGAGTAAAACACACAGACAAATTAGAGCAGGGGAAGGGGAGGAGGGTGGGGGTTGGGGCAAAGAAACACAATTTATAATGAGTTTGGTGGAAGGGAGAGAAGAGGTCAAATCTCAAGTAGAACAGGGTTTTTTTTTTGCAGGTGCGTTGAAGAACGGAGAGGAGAGGTCAGAGGCTGAAGGGAAACACAGTTCACTGCTTCTGACCTACGCAAACCGTAGAATCTCTGAGTGGAATTTGAATTAATGGGCAACACGAGAGAAGTCATGAATTTTCAGACAGAAAAGCCAGGCAGAAGTATCATGGAGTATGTTGCGTTGGTGGCAAAAGCTTGTCAAGGCGCCTACATCTTTGGCAAAAATGAACCCATCTTTCATGTCTGTTCTTTCAAGTTTAACCAAATATTATCTTACATTTGGGTTTTTCTTCTTGAGGAATAACAGATTGTTTTAACACACACATTTTCTATAAAAGACAAATGAAACCGCAGAAGGGTATGATTGTACTCTACATCCCACTTCCCACATCCATCCAAAACTTTCACACAGGAAACTACAGACTGCTCTTCTGAATTGGTAAACCAGAGGCAGCGAAGTGTATAAACCCAGTAAACTCACTCTGAACATGAGAGGACACAGGGAAGCCAAAACAAACAGTGGAGCCCTATAATAATGCCCCTCTGGAATATGTTTTCAGGTATAAACAGAGTTTGAAAGGTTCAAACGTTAACCAGAACAGCATGTGTGATATATAGTCATACCCTGAGGTTGTTTTACCCCCCCTATGCACACTTCATAATGTTTCTCACTGCTCCTGTAATCTTTCTTCCTTCTCTCAGGAGGTCATGCTCATCTTTTTCCCTCTCCTTTCTCTGCTCATTCACAACACGAAGTTAGCTGATTTAACAGGAAATGCAGGAGCAAGACCTTTTGTTTCAGGCGCCTCATTTTCCCCCCATTCTCATTTCTCTCTTAAGTGCACGACATCCTCATCTGTTCACACCTGTGTTATTTTTTACTGGCTACCCAAATAGCCAACTATCTATGCTGTCAATCCTAGAAATAACTTTCGTTGTTTCTCTGCACATACACATATCTTACCCGAACACTCAATGACTGCATCTGTTAAAGAACCAAACTGAGCTAGTGAACACTTTTTTTTGCCCTTAGGCCTGTGTTTCCATTCCATGTGTCCATTCTTTGTAATATAACAGAACTTTTTCATTCCAACGTTTTACCACCCCTCTCTGCAGCCACACCGAGTTCACCCCCCTGCAACTCCCCTGACCTTACCAAATGGGACAAAGTCTTCTCCATGTTGGAGAACAGTCAGATGAGGGAGAACATGCTGCTTCAGTATGCCGACGACATCGTCAAGGTGGAGATGGGGACAATGAGAGGAGAAATGCTAAGGTTGGTGCAAAAATGAAATAATGGGTAGGAAATGGGCGAGCAAAAGATGCCTGAAAGTTCTTTGAAAAAGTTCTCCAAAATGAGGCATACTAAGGTTTTGTGATCTAACCATGTTCAATCAGCCATCTGACTTAGAGTAGGTCAGACATTTTTTAAGGCTATTGTTTGCAAATTCCATGCAGCACCAAATACTAGTATCATGATCTTGTTCCGCTGAGTAAATCTGTTACACTGGTCTTCTGACAGGTTTGTAGCCCAGTATGGTGGGTCCTGTGGGGCTGCGGTGGAGACGGCTGGAAGACGGATGGCTTTGCTGCTGGAGGGCCGTCTGAGAGAAACGCTGGAGCGCCTCAAACTTGGAGATCTGATCTCTAGTGCTGGGAAATCTGTTGGGAATATCAACCACCTGGAGGCCATGCTGCAGCAGCTTCACTCTGTGGCACAAACACAAGCATCCCGACTGGCCAAGCTGGAGAGCAGCTGCTTCAGCAACCCAGGAGACGGGATGGGGATGAATACCAAAAGGGAGTTTCAGCCTCCTGGGGAGGAGACGCTAAGGCACCGTGAACAAGAGGTCACATCACAAGATATTGCTTTAGACAGGGTGCTGGCTGCTCTGCAAGGGGTCAGGGTTGAACTGGATGAAGTATTAAAGTCATCAAGGCAAAGACACCTTCCAGCAGGTAGGAAAATCCCAACTTCCCATCAGAAACTGTTTCTTTTCACCCGTTATTTCCTTTTCTTTGTGTTCATACATCATTCAAACAACCTTCCGTCTTGACTCTGTTTTTCTTCCACTTCTGACACATTCAGGTCATGCTTGAGAAATGAGACCCCCCCCCCCCTTACCTCTGTCAGAACACGCTTCTAAACCAACCATGAAGGTTGTGTGTGTCCTAAATAGATTTTCCACTTCCTCTTTCTCCAGACATGCTGTCCTGCTCAGCTACCAACCGATCGTTTTTCCTCTTTATGACCTCATTCATCTCAGTTGATAGAGGAGAAATAAGGCTAAAGGCTTTTTGACATGTGTGGGCTTAGGAGTCGCCCAACGAGATAAGAATAAGTTCCGTTACCCATCTCATTCATTGCCTTCACACACCTTATCAAAGATAGGTAACTTTGGTACGATATGATTATAGCAGTGCAATGTTTACCCATTGTGGCGAGCTGCCACATGATCTACACAAAATGTCCCATGAAAGTAGAGACCCATAGCAACCAGCATGTGCACACCAACACACACACAGATGCACATCCAAAAGGTCTTTTTTCCCACACCAGTGAGTGGCATAAAGGCATTTAGGATCGCCTATTTTACTACGTTGGGGGTTTATCTGCTAACTGGAGTGACAGAGACAGAAAGAGAGAGCAGGAAGTAGGAGGGGAAAGAACAACAAAGAGATTAGGAGAGAGGGAAGATGAAAAATGATGGAGAGAAAAGTCAAAAGACCGTGAAGAGGAATGCAAAATGAGGGGAGACGTTTGGGACACACAGGAAGCTTTGGACATTAGAAATGCTGCTCAACATCCATTGACACCGCATCCTGCAAAGAGGACAGGATAGACTGACAAGACAGTGGTCATTTCTAACATTTACCAAAGGGGAAAAAAGCTGTCTTTCACGTTGTCAGAGTGACAAGGAGATTTAAAAAAAGGCACCAACCAACAAAAGTGCGAGTGCGAGTATACATGACAGGAAAAGAAAAAAAAGAAACCCTATGATTCATGATCTCATCATCTGACCATAAAGTGAACTTTGACTGTTTCTCATTCAGTCAGACTCAAATGCTGCCATAGGGCTTAAGATTTGGAAGAATTTGCCACATGCCTTAGTTTTTTTAATGTGTTGTGTCAGTTGTGATCGATGTTGTGCAGGAAGTTGTTATGATTCAGGAAAACTACGAAAAGCTGACTTTTCTACACATTTTGCTCTACAGGTTGTGAGATGGCCCTCCTCTTCCCCATGCGTTCCCGTCGAATCTACACCGCCATCTTGACAGAGATCCCTCTCACCCTGTCCTCTTTTACCGTCTGCATGTGGATGAAGCCGGTCACAGTCTCCAACAAAACTGTGTTGTTCTCCTATGGAAATCGCCAGAATCCCTATGAGATCCAGCTGCTGCTTTCCCAAACATCAGCCCTTCTAACCATCGGAGGGGAAGCTCATTTGGTGGAGGCTGAGGGTGTGGTTATTCCAGGAGAATGGGTCCACCTGTGTGGGGCTTGGTCCTCTGATCGGGGTCTGGCAACGCTGTGGGCAGGGGGCAAAAAACTGGCCACCACACCTGGGGTTGCCGAGGGACACATCATACCTGATGGAGGCTCCCTGCAGCTTGGACAAGAAAGAAACAGCTCTCTGAGCCTGGCTGGGTGGGGTGGCGTGACAGGGTTTGAGGGAGGATTTGACCCCAATCTGGCATTTGCTGGCAAAATGACAGGAGTGAACATGTGGGACAGAGTGCTGTCAGAAGATGAGATCTCCCGACTGGCTCGACGACAAGGCCAGGGCTGCCTGCATAGGGGGAACACGGTGGCCTGGGGTGTGACGGAGATGGTGCCACATGGAGGTGCTCAGTTCATATACTGATACCAAATTTTCCTGGGGAAAATCTAATTCTCATAATCATCGTGGTGGTGAACATCCACAATAAGATCTCATGCTAAAACTGGCAACTTAAAACTAACTTTAACAATTCTGAGTTTAAAAAACTCATGTTCTCATCATTTTGTCACAAACCATTTTCTGCATCACCCCCAATTGTTATTATCATAGTTAATGCTGCAATGAACTCTGTTGGACAGGTTCAAACAAGAGAACCCAATGCTGTGACAGACTCAAGTCTACTTTGTAACATATCCTTTTGAGCTGATGTTGCGACACACACCCACACTGACGTGCATGCAGATTAGAAAGCTTGTATCATTGCAGGAAATGTGTCGCCAACAGCATCTACAATTACTTAATCAGAGTGTGTCAAAGGGTGTTTTGTTAAGAGGAGCAGCTTCTGAGCCAGACATAAAGAGGTGGAAAAGAAGAGGTCACTGAAATGAGCATGACCATCTAGTGATTGAGCAGTGGTGCAGTGAAATAGTAGAGATGGCAAGTGGAGATTATCACTGTATCATTAAATCACCTGTTTCCCTTTGAATTTCAACAGGCAATATTAATGAAATTAAAACAACTTTGCTCTCCCGTCTTCACAGTCTTGTAGGTAAAATCATTAGCCATGTCACTTGTGCAACTTATGGCAGAAGTGACTTCATAGTGTTTTGGCAATGTTTTGTGTCCAGAGTTAGATATGTATGCAATACTTGCATGACTGAGAACTGCTGTAGTTGCTTGCATTTAAATATCATAATGTCATTTCAAACTAGGGATTGTTTTTTAATCATTTTATTATAATACCGTTTTGAGTTTTTTCTAAAAACATTTTTAAAAACCTTACATAGCTTAACGTGTTATCATTAAACTGTTTACATTCATGTATTAAGTAGTTGTATTAAGTTCCATTTCTTTAATACTTTTTTTCTGTAGTACTCGTGTAATTTTTAGATAATATTTGTGTGTGTGTGTGTGATAAAATTGGAATTTTACGTTCTCTGAGAAAGTTTCCTTGCTATCATATTGTAAATTGATTTTGGTCTTTGTGAAGAGAGGAAACTGAATGTATTTTGTACATATGTTTTTCATAACAATGGATGGATGAATGGAAACTTAGGAATGAATAAACATTTGACGTTATTCAGTGTTTTTCCACTTATTTAAACCTAATCAAGAACACAATTAAACTTGATGTCCACTTAGAGCTTATATTAGGTCACTGTAAGGCTAACGGTCATGTGAAGAATGAAAGTGCCCCCTTTTTTGGAGTCATGCATAGGGAAAAATAAAAACAATCAGAGATGTTCAATTAAATAAATTTGATGGACAAGGAAACACATGTTAAACTTATTAACATTCTCGCGCTAGTAGTTTGTTGGACCACTTGTGGCAGCAATAACTCTTTCCCACTATTAAATAATGGAGTCCAGTCTTTAAGATGTTTTCTGATGACTGAGAAATTATATTTAGCTGTTCAAATACACTAAATAATCTAAATCCATATTTGCTGCTATTCTTAGTAATTTCAGGACTGTTTAGCCAAGTTTGTCTACAGAATCTGCCAGAGTGTTTTATCCATCCTCCATATCCTGCACCCTCCATCTTTTCATCACCCCTCGCCTGAACCAGGGTCTGTATCAATACCCAACTTTTACTGAAACAGTTGGTGAGAGGCTGGGGTAGCTGATCACAGTACTGTCTGAAGTAGAAGAGATAGTTGTTGTGGTGTGAGAAGCAGTGGTGGCTGGCAAACGGGGTGGGACGGCTGCGATCACTGTCTATCTTCCTGGGGGTGTCGTAGGCCCAATTTGACGAAACACTGATCAAAGGAGGCTGCCACTTGATGACCCCCAAGGACTTAGTCAGCACTACCCACTGGTCTATAACGGGACCGTAGAGATTGGGAGTGTCTGCACTAGGTATGAGCCAGTTCTAGAATTTATGTGTTTAACTGTTACATTTTTATTCATTGAGTCTGATCTATTTTTTGGAGCACAAACTTCTTGTAATTACTTTGAATTAGCATTTGCACCCCCATGCTTCATCTTCAGTTGAAACTTTAAGAGAAACCAGGTTTCCAGCTTTTTATTCCCATCCTAACCTTAACTTTAGACACTAGTTTGCAACAGCTATGTGTGTTTGGGACCTTTACAAAATTACACATTCCAAACTTCATTGTTACCTTCTGGTGAGCTTTTATTTTCAAACACATGGGTCTCCTGCTTTTTAAATCCCTAAGGACCAAAGGCAGCCTGCGGTGTGCAAGCCTGTATGCTTGTTTGAGACATCCGATAATGACCTGCTGTAGCTCTTAAACCGTCACACTGCATCCAGCTGTTGGCTTTATGGAACTATGAAAGAACACCCCTGCTCATAAATCTCTCTATGCACCAAACTGATACAGACAATATAAACACAACTAAATTTATCCTTGACATATGCCATCAGGTTGTTTCCCAAAGAATGGATGACAAAAGTATGGCGACATACAGCTGTGCCTTAGCCCTTGTGATAAATACATGTGTGCGGTCCATGTATCTTGCAAGCTTGTATAACCAACCCACCATAAACCTCACCCTTGTGTTTATGCTAAGGCTACAGAATTGAGATGCTTGATCGGCAGGCCTGTTTAAAAATAACTCAAAAAGATATGGTCAGTGAGCTGCAGATGTGCAGATTAGCCCCAGCAGGGAGATGAAGTGAGGGATGAATGTATGAAATGGCCTATTTTACATTTCAAATGACCAAAGAAACATAAACCTTTCACTTATCACGCCCTCAGATATGAAAGCAAAGGATCTAAGGCAAAAGCCCAAAATGAGGTTTTATTCACAAGTAGAGGTAAGCTAGTTAACTGATCAGTTGATTAACAAAGGCTAATATATACCTTTGTTAATGTTACTCTAACCTGCATCGGCTACCGAGCATACTGAACCAATTCACAGGCAGGAGCCTCGACAAGAAGCGCACGGTTCTTGCTTTGGATACTTAAACTGTAAAAAACAAATGAGACATTGGACCAGTTGGCATCGATGGATGTTGAGCAGCGGAAACTTAATTTTGGAAATACTGCCATAAATACTCATAATGTGACCTTCTGTCCCAGCAAAGATACTCAAGGTGTTCATAGGTTGGACATAAAATGTTCCTTTCAGAAAGAAAATTAGCCCAGACAATAGATAAATAAACAAAAATCTGCATCATACAGGTATCAGTGTCCCCCCCTTGAAAAAAAAAACATATTTTTGGTTCTATATTAATTAGAAAATCGAAATTACACATTGCTAGTTTTACCCCATTGTGTTCACGATTTACTAAATTAGTGGGTTTTCAATATTTTACAGGTGAAGTTGTTCTGAAAAGTTTAATTGTGCAGCTCTTAAACAGCTCCAAGAAGCTTCACTGTATGTTTCAGAAACTTTCTGTTTATCCCATTTTTTCCCCATTTGCTTCTCTCCAAGATTACAAAAAGAACACAGGACTGTGGAGTTGTGCTACATCATGTGATGACTTAGAGGGGGGTCTCATAAATCTGACAGAACACATTTTTGAAACAAAGAATGTGTGTCAACATCCAGAAATTTGATTTGTGTGAGCATGGCAAAGTCAAAATGTTACAAAAGGAAAAAAAATCATACAACAGTGTGGTTTTTCCTAATTAGGATCTCTAATTGACCAAATGAATAAGTATGAAAACAGCAGTAACAGTCAGTTTGGGAAAAGTGGTTAAAGTGTTTTTTCATCAGACAAGCAAAACATATTAACAAATGCATGCAACAAAATCATACTGAGATCAAAAGTAAACAATAAAAGGAGTATTCCTTATGTTGTACAGTATGTTATGGTACTCAACTCTCACATCAATGTTAGTAAGAACAAAATGAGAAAAATGCAATTAAAAGAATGCCAAAATAAAAACAGTATTCAAAACACAATGTTCCTTTCTTGGTAGTCTTGTTGCATTATTTAGTAAGGCATCAAAAGTCCCTGCGTGCCATGATTGTGTAAAAATCTGCTATGGTGCCTTGCCAGTTGTCACATCACTTCACAGTATTCCTTAAAAACAGCAGGAAAGCCTCTAAGAATTATCTTAAAGGAAAACACATGATGCACCCCTTTCTTCAGTTGTCATTCAGATGTGATGTTAAGTCATGTCTGTGGGCTAATGCCATAATTGCTCTCTCACAGCCATAAACCACCAGATATTGCTATTAATCATCACCATATAAGCAAAGGGGGAACAATGTCTCCTGTCTCTTAAACATTGTATGTCCAAGTCCAACTCAAGTTCATTTTTTAAATGGAGCAGGCAGTAAAAAGTTAAGCCAGTCCATGTGCTGAACTGCTCTTGCTAAATGTACTCAGTGGCAGAGAACCTCTGGCATCATGTGAGGCGATCGGTCACACTAGCTGGGCGTGTAAGTGTGATGTTAAGCATAGTCCCAGAAGCATTTCACTCACAAAGAAAAAGAACAAATGCATCCTGAGCTACACATATTTAACTGAACGCTTTTGGGTGAAAGCATTTTTTCTGCACAGAGCTAGTTTGGGCTGGCAAGCCTGTGGGGTAAACAGATCTAAAATCAGGTGCGGCTAGCTATGGGCTACATACCTTTAGGGACCTCCTCAACACTAATAAGCCAGACACTTTGTTGGGATTAAAACAAAAGAAGTGAAGTACGTCTAAGTGGGTAACCACCTCAAGTCAGAGTCAGCTCTATCCAGTTTGACCGGAGCACTCGAGCTAAGTTAAAGAAAACAGTTATGAGGACAATGTCACCTTACATTAAGTCAAGCCCTGTCACATTAGATCTGCTGTCGGGATATGTGCATTTCTGCACACGTTTGGTCTTTTGAATTATTCAATTATTTGATAATTTCCCCCTTTATGAAAGGGCATCCACACATGATACATTGCCAGTGGGATTTTCATCAGTTTAAAAACTGAAAATAATGGAGTGGTGAAATAAGTACAGGGTGCTCATAGTGGCAGAAAACCCCTTTGCATTCATTTTGTAAACAGAGATTTTCTAAAAAGCTCTTTCTGTGCCTCCCATTTGCTTTTTGTTTCAGAACGCACAGCGCAATCGACATGCAGTGTGGAAGATCTTTTTTTTTGTAACATACACTGAGGAGAGGAAAACCTTTTCTGTGTGTTTTTCCTACCTCCCAGCACACTGACTGTTATGGCCTCTGTGTGCTCGGCCAGCAGGTCAGCTTTAGCAATAGCAGCCAGGGAGAGGTAGCTGGACATGTTCCTGCTTAGCTCCTTGTTCCCCCTCTGCAGGAAACGCACCGCCACTGGGACAGCCAGGACCATGACTGAGGGGCAGCTGTAGTTCTGAGGAAAAATAAGACGAGATCCAATTCATAAGAAGAGACCCATATGATGAGGGAAAAGCACTGAGAGAGAGTTTGCTTCAGCCTAGCAATGAGTGATGCACAGCTGATGAAGCAGCCAAATCCTATAACAAAATGATGATCAATAAAATTATTTTTTTCTCGACTTAAGACTCAAGTAATTGTTTCCTCGGGCTCTAGGACAGACTCACACTTATGTACATGTCCCCAGTGACACAAGCATGGAAAAGAAGACGGGTGACGAAATACGTTCAGGGATAAAAGAAATTGGATTCAAGATGCTCAATTGCAAAAAGCAGGACAGAAGAATACAAAATCTCTGCTCACACACTGTATATATTCCATTTAATATCTTTATATACACTTTAAGCACATCTACTTCTCAGACAGAAAAATCAAAATACCTTTAAAACCTGATGCATCTTATCGATGCTTTAGAGTGTGCCGTGCCTTTATTTCACCACATGATGGCAGTGCAAGTCACTGAATTCACCAGAACCCAAAAAAATAAATCAGCCAACCAAACATCAAAATAAAAAATTTACAATGACATAATATTGCTCACATTCTAAGACAACCAAAGAACCTCACCTGAATAAGAAAGGAAAAAAATACCAATCAAGTGTTCTGCTGCCGTGAGGATCTAAATCTGAGTGTCCTCCGCTTTACCCTCATGCATAGATTTACAGATTCATCCATGATGCAGAACCATTTAAAATGGAAGGCTTAGCATTTATTCAAAGAAGTACGTTTAGCTAAAATTCTGCCACAAATCAGAGGCTATTCCTCTGGATGGGTGTGGTTCCTACTTGAGCAGCGAACTTTGGAATCCCCTTTTCACCAAGAACCTGTTGCTTGCATCTTTAGTGTAAGTGAGAGGCTCAGAAGAGTGCTTGTGTTTATTCAAAGAGGAAAAGAGCAAAAAGAGAACTGAAGACACAAAGCTAAAGAGAAGAGAAATCCAGAGATTAACAGATTTAGAGGGCAGTTAGGTGGAAGAAGTCATCCCATAACTTCTGTTAGACATCAGAGCCCAAAGCTTCAGTCAGAACTTGAAATGTCACCTCTGTGTGTGTTGCAGCGTGTGTGTGTGTGTGTGTGTGTGTGTGTGTGTGTGTGTGCGTGCAGTTCCAGAAGAATCAGTCTCATTATGCTGGTATTAAACATACTCACATTCCTGAGGAAACAGAGAGAATGGGAGGGGGGAAATAAAGAATTCCTCTGCTTTTAAGCCTCAACTATAGAGGTCTGAGAAGGAAAAATGTTGCCTTGCCCTGGGCAATGATTCTTTTATGTGACAGACTTGCTCTCTGAGCAGAAATCCGCCATCTGACAACATGTATTAATCTGTATGTTTAATGCTATTGAAATAATTTAGATCTTATTTTGCCTTGGTTTTTTCCCCAGCAAACTCAAAATGCATTTAAACTTGATGTTTGCCGAATCATTTATACTCTGTCTAGTCATGAAGGAATAGCCTTTTGTCCACACCAATGCATAATTGTCTAAACGCTATTGTGGATTTGATGAGGCCTCTTCAAATTTTGAAACAAATCTGCAGGATCAAAAGATCATTAAAAGGACAACACAGGAGTTTACCAATCCCCCTTCAAATAATGATTTAAATAAGTGGGGTGTTTTATCTCGAGTTCTCCCACAGGTCAGGTGTCAAGCAACCTGACCTGATGCCAACAGGTAACATGAAAATAGTTGTTGAAAATGACTGTTGCTGGAATCGTTGCTTGTAAAGATGGGTGCTCTCAGGCCCTTGCAGTATTGTTACACACCAGCAACAATCCTTCATTTCTGATGAAAGAAGTGTCACTCATTTGTGGGAATGGATCACAGACAAGTTGATTGGAAACTTGGCAGCTAGAGTTTAGATTCAAATCATTCACATTCAACCATTCATTCATTGTCCATATAGGTTATTCTAGTCAGGTCAACTGGGGCTGGAGTTTATCCCAGCTAACATTTGCCAATAGTCGGGGTACATCACAGGACCACAGATAGATGAACAACCACACAGACTCACATTCTCTCTTGGAAAAATTTAGAGTGTTCACAAAGAAAGGCTCCCAGTTCCTCCAGGGATTTAAAACGGGAATCCTCTTATTGTGAGGCGACAGTGGTGCCCACTACACCACTGGCTTTTTATTTTCATTTCATACTCCATCTGCCACCGAGCTGCTATGACATTCACCTAAAGCAGCATTGAGGGAATGTTATGGAATAGTATGACATGAACTTGGTACTAAAACAAAGGGTAGTCAAGTGGAAGCAAGGAAAACTGTCCAAAATGTCCATAAAAATAGAATAGGTACACGGTAACCTGCTGTCTAACTCGTAATGCTGGCAGCAGCATTATTCAAAGTTGTGCCCAGCTGTTTGGGTAGCGCTCATTTAAATGTTAAGTGTGTTAGTGACTGATTAGTCTTACCTGCAATATGCAGCTGGTGATGTCAGAGGCTATTTTAGCATGTGGAGTGTCTTCTGTGTTTTCTCCTTGAGGAGTGAGGTTATGTTCCAGACACGACTCCCACAGTCCCACCAGTGCTGTGCTGTGTCGCTCGATGGAGCCGGTCTCTCTGATCGCTGTGGTGATGCGTGTTATGCAGATCTCCACCACCGCCTGGTCGTTATCATTGGTCAAGTAGTCCTGGCAGCCGTCAGACAGCAACAGCACGCCACGTTGAGAGTACAATGATAAATTAAGGACAATGTGCATTACTGATGCATAAGAACATAAATAATTCATTAAAAATAAACTTGCACTGCCACTCTCTGAGCCATTACCCACTCTGTCTGTGTGCTCAAGCCTGTCTAAACATGCCTACTGACCGGTGAGCAGGAGATTGTCTTGATCTGGTCCAGAGCTTGAGACAGACAGTCTTCGATTTCTGTGTCATGTAGAGAGAATAGATCTCCTGCTCTGGACAGATCCCTCTGGCCCAGCACCTGGCTGAAGAGCTGCTGCATCCTGAGCCTGTAGCAGGGGTCCTCTCACACCAGCTGATGCTGAGCAGTGGACGATCCCGTCAGTGAAAACGTAGGAGGGTGAACATTTTCAGGCACGGTCATCCACTTTCTAGTCCTGGTAGGATGATGCAACAGCTGGAGAACAAGTGAGCACATCAACAAAACAATGTGTCTGTATTACCTTAGGAACAAGATATGTAGATCTTTGATTTTTGTTGTAATTAAAGTCTTCTTCAGTGTATCCAGGATCAGGTAGGCTGGATGTGACGGGACCGCTTTGTCACCGTCTCCTCTGGGTCTGACTTTGGCCTGTTACTGTGGAGACTAGGCATATTCTCGACGAGGAAATCTTTCCACCCCAAAGTCCTGGAAGAGTGAAAGGACAAAAAGAGAACTTATACACAAACTCAGCGGAACAAAATTGGGATTTGCACTATAATACTCAGGCTAAAAATAAAGGAAACACAGACGGAGCGCCAAAGAATGAAAAAATCTGTCCTATCAAAGCAAAATGCACTGTGGCGAGCTGTTTTCAGAAAACTCTAGAGAACATCTCGGGAATTAGGGCTGTGCATTATCTCCAGTTGCAAGTTCACATTCATGCAGGACAGTAGGAGACTGTCTGTGTGAAGCCTGTGTTCAGATATGGAAATAATTCAGCCTGAGACAGTAAGCCTCCCATCAGATAAAAGTCTGGGGAAAAAAGACAATACCTTCACTCCTCAGCTTTGCTTTTGGTTCCTGGATGCAAATCAAATCCTGATCATGTCAACCCATGCGTACTTTAAATGGGAGTTAAAAATAACTGCATACTGTTGTGTGTCATAGCCAGACAACACAACCACACAAACACTATGTCCCGTGGTATTTATTCTGTCTTTCGGAAAAACAATCACATTTTTGTCATCACAGAACTTGAGGGGGAAAAAAACAGACAGTGCTAGCAGCTGCTTAGCAAACACCCTTAAAAAAGCTTTGCAGTCCACATTTAGAAATTCTGGCTAACATCACCATGAGAAGTAACTAATGTTAACAAAAATTTGTTGATATGCAAACAGCCCAGACACATTCTCGTGCAGTCATTTAAAATGTTCATTTTCTTACGTCACATTTCAGATTTAAACTTGGAGTAACAGACAAAACTTTTTTTTAAGTTCAATGAAATTTAGATGTATGCAAATAAAATGAACAAAAAATCAAATAAAGAATTCAGATTGCACCCAAAAAAATTCAAAAGTGTTTCATTCTATTTCTAAAATCCACACTAAATGAATTTCCCAAATGTCGTTATTTCCATTTTGTGTATTACATCAGCTGACATGGCTTTCCATGGTGAACGACCTTATGGCTCCAAAACAGCAGTTCACAAAATTCTGGGAGATGTAACAGTGGCTGTGATCAGTTTTTTTTTTCTATCTGGTTGACCATGCCATTTTAAAATCTCTGTTCTTCTTCTCTATTCTCTTATTCAGCCTTCTTTTTGCAAGAGGTGCAAGTGAAAGTTAATATGTGATGTAGTGATCAAAATGAGTCCTTCATAATATGTCACATATCTTCTACAAATCTGTACCAGAACACAAAATACCTGTACCGCTGCTTTGCTTTGAACTGTATGTTGTAACTAAGCATGAAAAGTGTACAAAACAACATAACAAATATAAGATAAAAAGACGCAGTCATCCGAGATGATGTGCAATAGGTAGTGCTAATGTTGCAGGGACTTAAAAGCTGCATGTTAACCATTTACTTAATACTGTCACTTCTCTTTTCAGTCTCAATTAAACATTAAAACATTAACACTACATGAAGCACTGGAGGGGCAGACACACAGACACATGAGGCATACAGCACAGAATGCTTCTAAAAGTGGAACATGCTCCTGGCCACAAACATGAGCCCTCCTACGTCCGATAGAAGTGTAAAATATGCCCAAATTAGGGTTCCTAATGATGCCTGTATCTTTGTGTCTTTTTTCCACGAAGCGCTCACCAGGCCTGTTTGCTGCTTGGGATTATGATGTGTGTTCATAGCTGAGCTGCACTTCCTCTCAGCTAAGTGAATGTATCTGTGTCACTGTGTGCTTCCTACACCCACTAGCCTCTCCAATCGGACATCATCTCACACCATTTTTTTGAAAACTGCACTGGAAGGAGCCCAAACCAGACCAAAGGAAAGCACAAAGCTAAGCATTTGGGATGCTCTTATCCCTCCTGCCATGTTGGCCGTGATGTCCATCCACTGCCAGGATACCACATTAGGAATTCTCAGTGGTCCAAGCCAGGACCATGGGACCAAAACAACAAAAACACCATAAAAACAAAGAGCAGAGCAATTTATCTGTCCCACACAGACATGCCAGAAGATGTAGATAACCCTTTCTATTAGATGCAACAACCAGAACCCTTTCTATGTAAGATCTGATGTATTTGACTGGACTGTTAGCAGCTACTATGTTGACTGTACTGCTTTCGAATGTATTACTAAATTTGTTAAAGGACATTTTTTGGGATCTCTTAGGATTTTCATAAATAAATCTGCTTTAAAAACCAAGTTTTCAGATCAACCTTAAAATTTATTACTTTTATTCTTCCCTCACCAGAGGATTTTCAGCGGTGAAAAAGACAAAAGTAGGAAGATGAAATTATTTTTGCTAATTTAATGAAAGTCATGCTCAGGCAGGTGGCACAGTGTGTGCATGTAGACCATGAGATGCCTTATAGCGAGGACCTCCAAAGTCCAGTCCTTGGGTGTCTCCATAGGTGTCTCCTTGCTTTAACACCTGAGTCAAGTCACTGCATCTTTGGTAGACCGTGAAGTCAATCTAAATCAGGTGCAATGAAGCTGGGAAAACACCTTAAACCTGCAGTAAAGCAGCCCTCGTCGGTTGGAGTTCCAGACCCCTACTTTATGGGATTCTGGTAATCTTAAGGACATTTGGTTCTTTGTAATATCTTTTCCCTTCAAGATTTCAGCATAATTTATTACATCAATTCCTTCCTCCATTTTGACTCACGTCTGGGCTCCTGTCACAGAAAGTCATTTCCGAATTATGATGCTGCCCTCACCATGTTTGACTTTAAGAATGGTCTTAATGGTGTTCAGTGCTTTAATTCATGGAGCATTTCCCTTATAGTGGTCTGAGACTTACATTTTCCGGGTTCCTGCACTCTCCTGACACACTACCAGGTATGCATTATAGGTTTATTTTTCTGGCCCTAAATTGACTGTGGCTACAAGAGTGTGTCAAGATAATCTCTCCCTGTGTAACACAGCCTGTCATTCACTGCCTTACCAACGCCCCACAACCTTTGACAGTACACTACAGGTATATAAAATGAAAATTCTGACAGTCACAGCTATGAGCCTCCAAGAAAATACATTTTTAAATCTGAAAACAATCAAACAGAGATAGAGTAATGAAAGAAAAAGGCAGATAAGCATTATGGAGATTTGTAAGGGCCACCGGACTACTTCCAGGGGGTAAAGTCAGACACACATTCATATCACCTCCAAAGAGAGAGACCAGAGGGAGAGAAAGCTGGTGATAGATAACGTTTCAGTGCTCTGCCTTACACTGCAGACAGCTAGAATTCCGAGCCTCTGTTACCCACCTAAATGTCCCAATAGGGCTGCAACGATTCGTCGACGTTGTCGACAAAAATCGATAATAGAAAAAGTCGACAATGAATTCCATTGTCGACTATTGTCGCCAGACGTGTTTTTCCGACAGAGTGAGACATCTCACTTAATTAAAATCTGCCCAGAGTCACCTGCACAACAGCGTCGCGGTTTCAGAAATGGCGGCGTCCAACACGCGTACAAAAACTTCCAAAGTTTGGGAGCATTTTATCCTTGATACAACGAGTAAAAAAATGACGTGCAAGGTTTGCAAAACAGACCTTGCGTATCACGGCAGCACCTCGGTGATGCACGAGCATTTAAAAAGAAAGCATGTTGGGCACTTAAATGAAACGGAGTCTGACTCGCCTCGGTAAGATTTAAGCAACAATAATGCTAATATGTTTAGTCTTTTATGTACGTTATACATTTTCTAAGCGTTTTTTCACTTTAAAAGACAGCTTTAACGTTATGCCTGACTGTGCCTGACAAACGCATTCTTATTTACGTTTTGTATCAGCTGCAAAGTTGAATAAAAGATGCATTTTTCATTGAAGTACCCATTTTTCTTGTGTTTATCATTTTCCACTTAACTAAAGCAACTTTATGCTATTTTTAAGAAAAAGTGAATAACTATTCGATTAGTCGACTAATCGTTTCAATAGTCGGTGACTAGTCGACTATTAAAATAGTCGTTAGTTGCAGCCCTATGTCCCAACAACATCTAAATAGAATAAATTAGTCCTCGGACAGCATAAAATGTAATGCACGCACTGACATTTTATGTGCCATATTATTATTATATATTACATTACCCATATAACATATATTATTATCATCTACTTGTGTAACTCAGTGCTGGAGTGTGTTTGTAGTGTGTGTGATTGTGTGTGAAAGCAAAAGGGAAAAAAATGGGCCGGAGGAATTTCAGTTCTTAAACAATCAGCGAGTTACTATTAATCACCCAGCTACGGCTCAGCAAGCTTAGGAATGCAGCCTTTAAACACACAGGCACACAGGCACACACACACTTACCATCACTCCAGAGGGCAGTAGATTAACTTCAATTTATTTAACTGAGATTTATTTTCTCTGTAACCACTCATCTACCATTTTCCAAACCATAGCTAAACTTACTCTGAGTCATTATGTTAAACATCCAATGTTTGACACTTCAGGCTTTTTGTCCCCTGAAAGGAGGCACTTCTTTACAATGCGATTCTGTAAAGACACTTACTAAAATCTGTTCACACAATTAGCTACATTTTCCAGTTGTGTTTGCCATTTAGTTTTTTTTTTTTCCCCCACCGTCTCTGGTAACTTCAAAGTTTCCTTCAGTTGAAGGTGAAGCAGATGCCCATATTGCAGACGAGCTGTGAGTG